TGGACCCTCTTTGCCTTAGTTTTCCCCTCTGTACAGTGGGCACAACACTTGTTCGGGCAGAGGAGTGTTCTAGCACCATGAGGATGGACTACGGCCCATGGCCCAGGGCTGGCCACACCCTACAGCATCAGGAGTGGAGACGTGGCGGCATCCTGCCTTCCCGCAGAGCACCACGCAGGCTGCTGCCCTCGCGGCCCCGCCAGGGACGGACTAACCCTTCACACATACACACAGCACCTGCAGTTCGGGAGAGAAGGAAGCACCCAAAACAGGCCCAGATCCAACCAGCGTCTCCCTGGCTTCATGGCTGGCCCCCTGTGCTGCTGGGTTATTCCATTTACCTAAAACTTTGACCCACAGCTGGTCATTCCTTAGAAGCCTCTATGTATTTATGAATGGTACCGAAATCCAGGATACATAACGCTTTCCACGTAACACTTGGCCTCACCCTAAGAAAGCCGGCAACACTGCTGATCTCTAAAGATCACTTCCAGCCTGTTAACTGACAAGCTTTCCAAACAGACGTTACTTCAAAGAGACATTTAGTCTGCTTCCGAAACGAAAGAAGTCCATGGCCACTGCAGCAGAGTGCCCGTCACAGGGCAGGCGCCCAAACCCTGATGCACTCCGAGAAGCGTCCATGCCGCGCCCCTGGGCCTCACACCTGCACGGAGCTGTAGGACTGGCAGCCCAGGGACGTGACTCGGGGGCCCAGGGACACGCCAGGAAGGGCAGTTGCCGCACCGTGCGGAGGAAGAGCTGGCTCGTAAGCCACGGGCGATATTGAAATCAAGGTTTCCTTTTTCTGGGTCACACATTCTGGAGCGAGCCTCTCCCAGGAGGTGAGGAAAGAGAATGCAGGTGGAAAGTTGCTGCTCCGTGTGAGGACGTAGTCACGGTCTGGGACAGAGAAGAGCGCCCGGTGCTCGTGGGGCCTGGACAGGAGGCGGAGGGAGCCCCCGGAGGGGAGTGTAAAGGTGGCGGCTCCCCCAGAATGCCCCGGGGCAGAGGGGTGGCCTCCCCATACAGCCCTCGCAGGTCACTGGGCCTGGGCAGCCCAGGCAGAGAATGTGGACCCACACATGGTGAACCCAGGGGACAGGGATGCTGGAGGCCCTCTGAAAAGGTGCCCAGCTGGCCAGTCCAGCACGGGCTCCCCGCAGGGGAGACTTTTCTTAGGAACATGTCACGAGCCCAGCAAGGCTGCTGCTCGTAATAAATATCTGGTCCCTGTCTCCAGTTCCTAGCACCCTGTTCCAAAAACCCTTGGGGTCTCCCGAGTGACGTGTCTTGTGTGCTGGTGGCTGGGGCCACTGGCTAGCTCAGGAGGAGGGCTGGTCACCAGCAAGACCCAGACAGGACTAGAGGGGCTGGAAGTTCCGGCCCTCCTCCCAACCTCCCGGGAGGGGCGAGGGGCCAGAGACAGAATTCAATCACCAATGGCCAGTGACTTCACCAATCCTGCCTACATCATGGAACCACCACAAGATGCCCCCGACAAGGGGACCAGAGGCTGTGGGTCGGTCAGCATGAGAGGCGCCGGGAGGGCAATGCCCGCAGAGGGAGCTGGAAGCCGACCCCGTCCCCACCGGGCCCTGCACGTGTGTCTCCTGCACGCGGCTGCTCCCGAGCCTGTGTCCTGTGCTACAAACTAACTGGCAACAGGAAGCAAACGGGTTTCCCGAGTTCTGTGAGCTGTTCTAGCAGATTATCGACCCTGAGGAGAAGTGGGAACCCCCAGTTTTATAGCCAGTCACTCAGAGGAGGGGTGGCTCTGGCTTGGGATTGGCCTCTTCTGTGGGGACAGACCTGTGGGGCAGAGCCCTTAACCTGCGTGTGAGCCCTGCGCTAGTCCCTGCGCGAGTCCAGCTGAACTGCTGAATGCCCAAGGGAGCCGGAGACTGGTTGCTGGGCAGAAGGGAAAACCCATGCACTTGGTGGCAGGAGCGTTATGAGCGCGCAGCTCCGCCTGCCCGACCCGGCCGGGCTGCAGGTGCCGGGGTCCTCCTGCAGGGCGGCTCCACCTGCTCCATAGCGAGACCCCACTTTCCATGCAGGACCCCGAGGCAGGTTTGCCGAGGAGCCAGGTGTCTGCAAAGGTGATGACTTTGGCACAGGGGGGTCTTCGGGGATTGCAGGAGGGAAGCCCAGGTGTAGGGCACCCAGAGAGCAGCGCAGGGCAGGTCCCGACCCTGGGGGGCTGCAGGGAGGCTTAAGACCAAGCACAAACCCAGAAGAGGCTCCCACAGGCAGACCAGAGCCCCCATCCTCCGCTAAGGGAGCACAGACGTGGCTACACGCCAGACCCCCTTGGGCCAGGCAGGCTTGTCTCTGTCATGAGCTCGATGTCATCCATGTGTGTCAGGGCTGAGTGAGAGACGAGGGAGATGCAGCCTGACAGTGTGGAGGGAACTGAAAAGGGGAGGCCACGTCCTTAAAATCACACCCCGTATTCCTCCTGCAACAGCTGCTCGAGGGCCTCGGGCTCCGTCGATTTTCCTTCTCGGGAGTTACCCTGAACAGGACGTCGAGAGAACACACAACAATGTGGACATAGGCTTCAACGTACACTTGGGGTCCAGTGGGAGGGGGGGCGGCCAGCTGTGCAGGTCAGCACCCTGCCCAGCAGGCAGCGCGGGCACGTTAGCCGCTGTGGGCTCACCTGCATTGAATGCAGGGATGAGAAGGAACCTCCCACTGCGGACTGTTACGGGAGGAACCTGCAGGAGCCTGGCTGGATCCCTTTGCCCAGGGACGCCCTGGAGCGTGCTGCGGTCAGCCGAGATGCTGGTCCAAGAGAGGAGAAGGCCACGGACAGGGTCCAAGCACCCAGGTGGGTCTTGCTCCCAGCTTCCCGGAAGCCAGGCAGATCCCGGCAGGGTGTCCCCACTGGTGGGCGTGCACGGGACCCGGGCCGCCCAGCCCTCCTGCCACACACTGCACCGCCAGACCCTGTCCTCAGGGCCCCGGGGCCTGTCCACCCGCTGGCCGGCCAGCTTGTCCGAGGCAGGCAGCGTGAGCCACGGCACAAGGCAATGACAGATTCTCATGTCTTCGTCGGGCTGAGAACACGTAAAAGTTAAGCACTACGAAGAAACTTGTAAAGCAAAACAGGACCGTGTAGACACTTCGCCATCTGCCTAGGAAGGTAAAAGGTCTCCGGCGCAGCCGAGGGAGGAGGGCTCAGTGCAGGCGTTAAAAAAGGAAAGTTTCTACCCTTCTAAACGGCCTGTGACTTTTTAATGGGCAGGCAGTAGTTCTGTGATTGTATTCAAACAAGCACGCACTAACCACCCACTTTCCATGGTACTACACACACAGCGAGACCTTTAAACACGGCCTACTGTGGTTTCCAGTGTCTGCTCCCTTCTCGTCACCTCCGGGCCAGCCCTGAGCACTCTGTCCCTCTCTGACTTGGGAGGGTGGCAGAAAACACCAAACAGGAATTGCCCACCCCACAGGGATGCGATCCCTAAGTGCCTGTAACACAGAGGGCCTGCTTGCGTCACTGGGGGGCACTGTCCACGTGACAACCTCGGGTAGGTTGGGCTGGCGGGGGTCTGCGCCCCAGTCCCCCGTCTGTGAAACTCGGGCATGAGAACCCCTGCTCGCCAGCCCCTTCCAGCTCTACAGGGGCTGGAAACCCAAGGACTTCCAGAGACCGCCCCCCGCCCCCGCACCGCACACACACACTTGTTCTGGAACACTCAACTGAGCCGAAGCGTGCACACCTACAGCCTGGCAACTCCACGCCTACCCTCGCACAGTCCGGTGCTTGCACCTGAGGGGTTAGGACACTGTCCACATTCGAGCTCACCACAGCTGTGTGGCACTTGTGAAAAAGAGAGAACAGCCTAGTTGCCCACGGACAGAGGATGGAGAAAGACGTGCTGGTCCACCCAGAACCCTGAACGGTGGTTGAAGCAAACAAATAGAGCTCCACAAACCAGCCCTGATGAGTCTCAGAACTGCCGTGTCCGGCACAGACAAAGCTCACGGTAAAACTGTACACACAAAACGATAAACGTTTCAAATGCACAAACGACACTCCAGCTGGGACTGGGAGGAGACGCACGGGGGGCAGCGGTCTGGGACTCGCCCTGCTCTGCCTCTCCACCTGGGGTCACAGAGGGGTCCCCTCCTTGCCGTCTGCTAATGGTGCGCTTCTAACTGGAGAATAAAACGCAGAAAGATACAGGAGTAAGCCTTGTATTTAAGAGAAAGTTTTGTAGGATCTTTTACAGATACTTTCCATTTTAAGAAAATCAGTAAAATTATTTATGGTATTTGACTAACAATAAGTAATTTCAGCTTGTGACCGGTTAGCAACTGTAAAATGAACTCTACATAATACCTTAATGGCTTAAATCAATACACCACATTGCTGAATATGTACATATATACTCACATACATGTAAATGTATATTTTCATTGAGATAATTCACATACCCTATAATTCACCCTTTTAAACTACAGAATTAAATGTTTTAAAGCCACACTTCACAGAGGTGTCTAAACCACCCCACCGTCACTTTTAGAGCAGTTTTGTCACCCCTGGAAGAAGCCCGGCACCCACAGCGGACACCGCCATTTCCCCTTGAACTCTGACCCACGCCCCACCCCCACCCCCCCGCCGGCCCTGGCAACCACCCATCTACTTTCTGTGTCTATGGATTTTTCTATTCGGGACATTCCACATCAGTGGAATCCCACAATACGTGGCCTTTTGCATCTGGCTTCTTTCATGGAGCACGTATTCAAGGCTCATCCACGTTAGAGTGTAGGCCAGAATTTCATTCCTTTTAAGGCTGAATGATATTCTATTGTACGGATATACCACCTTTTATTTATTATCCACTCACCAGCTGGTGGAGCAGATTTTGTTCATGTAAAGAGTCTGCAGTTTCCATGATTCTAAGGCAGAATAAACTACCCCCACCCGCTTCACATGCATTTCCTGGGGAAGGAAAGGCCCACGCGGGTGACGGCTCCCGGCTCACCTTCTCCTGGGCGGACCTGGCCGCGCTCCACACTTGCTGCACTGCCAGCTCCAGGGGCGGCTGCTGCGGGTCCTCCTCGAAGGACAGGGACAGCGGGCCCTGGGACAGAAAAGCACAGTAAGCAGATGCACGACGGTGATGCCTGCTTTTTAGAAAAAATTACGTATTTCCTATAAAGCTCTGCAAATCTGAGAAAATATAATACAGCTTGTTTTTGTTAAACCCATGCTTCTCAGGGGCGGCAATGGTCAAAAGTCAGTAAGTGCATGCTCCCGGGGGGACCGGCTCAGGCTGGATTTGGTTATGGGACATGGATGGGAAGTAGAGAAACACAGGAACGAGAGCAAAGCCGTCACAGTCAAGGTCGTGAAGGGTGTTCTGAATGCTCACGTTCACAACACAAAGAAGGCAAGCTCTTTGGGAGGTGCTTGTGTCAGTCGGTAGGTCCGTGGGTGCAGCACCATATCTGTGTCCTCCCCTTCTTCTGGGGAAAACCCCATTGTTTTTAAAGAATCACCTCTCCCTGATCCCTGGTTCCTGGCGCTGTGCTTAAGGTACCCCCTTCTCTCTTCCCACTGCCCCGGAGGTGGGTAGGCAGGAGCCCCCAAGGGCCGGCCGCCTCTCCCTGGAGCCGGGACCCTTGGCTGGAAAGGAGCCCAAGGAGCATGCTCCTGCCCCACGGCCTCCTGGTCCAGCCCTGCTTCGGCTCTGCCCATCCTCCTGGACCCTCCCTGCAAATTCCCCCGTGGCTCATCCGCCTGCATCTGTTTAGGTTCTTGCCATTCAAAATCTCCAAGTGAAAGAGATGTGCAATTAAATTAATATGACCCCCAAGGCAACACGACTGCCATTTTTGGGAGAGAACAAACCAGGGCTGGCGCAGCCAACCAGGTCTTGTCTGTTTTAAAATAAACTCTCTTGAGAGGCCGAACACTTAGGCCAACAGCCCGACCCTGGAATGAAACTCTTCTTAAAATGCTTCCTGGCGATACTGAACATCTTTTCATGTGTCTCTGGATCCTCCGTATGTCCTCCTTGGAGAAGTGTCTGTTCAAGTCCTTTGCCCATTTTTTTAAATGCTCAGTATTGCTAGCTACCAGAGAGATGCAAATTAAAACCACAATGAGATACCACTTCACACAGGTCAGAATGGCCATCATAAACAAAGCAACAAACAACAAGTATTGGTGAGGTTGTAGAGAAAAGGGGATCCTAGTGCACTGTTGGTGGGACTGCAGACTGGCGCAGTCACTGTGGGAAACAGTATGGAATTTCCTCAGAAAACTGAAAACGAATCTTTAGTTTTAGAAAACTAAAAATGGACCCAGCAATTCCACTGCTAGGATTATACCCTAAGAGCCCTGAAACATCAATCCAAGAGAACCTATGCACCCCAATGTTCATAGCAGTGCTATTTACAATAGCCAAGTGCTGGAAGCAACCTAGGTGCCCATCAGTAAATGAGTGGATCAAAAAACTATGGTGCATTTACACAATGGAATTCTCTGCAGCAGAAAGAAAGAAGGAGCTCCTACCCTCTTCAACAGCATGGATGGAGCTGGAGAGCATTATGCTAAGCGAAACAAGCCAGGTGATCAAAGACAAATACCATATGATCTCACCTTTAACAGGAACCTAATCAACAAAACAAACCAACAAGCAAAACATAACCAAAGACACTGAAATAGAGGACAGGCTGACAGTGACCAGAGGGGAGAAGGAAGAAAATTTCAGGGGAAAATGGGAAGGGTTTGCAGGAACAAGTGTAAAGGAAACATGGACAAAAAACTGGGGGGGAGGGGGGTGGAAAAGGGAGGGAGGTAGGGAGGGCTGGGGTGGTGGGCTGGGATGGGGGTAAAAGCCAGAAAACTGCACTTGAACAGCAATTAAAATAAATCAATTTTTAAAAAATGAAAAACAAAAAAAAAACACCTCCTGATGCACATTGTGCTCAGGCAGGTTCCGACTGGGGGCTGTGAGGAGAGCATGTGCCCACAGCTTCCCCCCACTCCCCGCCCAGCTCAGGGGCTCCCACTGCAGGGAGCTGGTCCCGGCTACAAGACACGATCGGGGCGGGAAAATAAAATTCTGCAAGAGGCACACAGGCTCTTCTGGCAGACATGGCGCAAATAAGCAGGCAATGGCATCACTGGGGGCTACGTCTTAAGAATTCCGTGTGGTCCAAAGGAGAGCAAACAGACACAGAACACTTTCAATCACACCTCGTCCTGTGCCGACCCCGCCAACCTCGCTGCCCAAAATTCACCATCAGGGAAGTAAATCCACTCCCTAAGAGCGATGAAATCACAGTTGGGGGCTGTTCTGCCACATTCTCCAAGGCTGGCGCTTGCTCTGCTATGGCCAGGGGTACGCCGTGAGCCTGGGAAGGACACGGTCCGTGTACCAGGCTGGCTGGCTGAGAGAGCAGCCCCCAGCACGAAGCCCAGTGCCAGGCAGGGAACTGACCCATCAGCAGGGGCTGCGACAGCTGCCGACAGCTGCCGATAGCACGGTGAAACAATGCACCTTCTGTCCCAGCCGCAAGAGCCACCGGTGCCGTGAGCAGCCTGGACACAGCCTCCGGCCCTGGGCATCGGTGGGTGCAGCCCACGCCCTCTTACCTTGCAACCTTGAGGATTAAAACCCTGGAAAGATCCTGCCGGGAAAGCTCACGTCAATGGGTGGTGTCACAGAGGAAATAAATTACTAGGTTAAAACGAGGACACAGGTTCCTTTCCCTTTCGTATTGCCTCACTGTCAAGTTCCAGGAAGCCCAGCGTGTGCACAGCACTCAACCACAAACTCACATTCCAGGTGCTCCCGACCCTGCGGAGACTAAGGCCAGACTTGCTGTCCACCTGGGAAAGCGACACACAGGAATCACCAGGAAAACACTAGGAAAGGAAAACCGTGAGGAGGACTAGCCCTGCCAGACGTTAGCACCCACTACAGACCCCCTACATTCCAGACGAGGGGGACAGGACACGAACACGCAAATAGACCAGGGGACAGGAGCAGAAAGTCCCAAACAGACCCAGATACCTTTGCACACTTAACGTGGACAAGGGCGGCATCCCAGGTCACTGGGTAAATACAGACTCTCTTTGATCAGGATGTGGGAGGAACCCCACATGGAAGGCAAACACTAATAAACGAACCCAATGCATTACAAATGAACATCATGACCACCGAGGCAGTGCAAAAACCCAGGTCTAATAGGCCGAACCTAACGCTGTGTCTAACACAGACGCCGTGATCTGGGCAGTAAGCGCGCTTCTCGCTGGGGCACGGGTCAGCAGTTCAGCAGCTACTCTACGTGAATGCTAGACTCGACCAAATAAGTAAACACGTCCCAGATGATAAGTCCCTGATGCCTCCCCGCTGGAGAAGGAAGTTCAAAACAGGGCAAGGGCCAGATGAGATGAACTCTGTGCTATTGACCCGGAAGCCCAGCAAGCAGCATCGAGTCATGGTTTCGAAAGCACAGACAGAAACATAGAGAAATACAGACGTGTGCATGAGTGTATTATATGCACACGTATGTTTCCCAGCTCTGCCCACTAAAAAGGTGCAAAAGCAATGAGACCCCAGCAGTAATGAGCACACCTGATGCTCAGGCCTTGGCTTCGAACGGCCTTGACGATAGAAGGGATCAGGGGCACCTGGAGAAGTGGCCGAACCCGGGGCCACAAAAGGGAAAAACACAAGAAGAGTCTAGAAAAAGCACCTGTGGGACCAGGAAGTAAGGAAGTGCTACACACACACACACACACACACGACTTTCTATGTTGATGGAAGAACACAACAGCTTGTGCCACCGAAGCAACAAGACAAACAGTGACAGTGTTGCATGTAGCACCCCGAATAAAATACCCACGAGTCCACACTGATGTGAATAATCAACTAAATATACAGATGGAAGAGAAGTGGCAGCTCTTTCTTGCAGTAGAATTCCAGTGGATAAATGTGGGAGAGACAAAAACAAAAAAAGAATCACCATTGAGCAAACTCCGCAGAAGTAATTGTTGCAGACTCATCATGCAGACAGATGCCAAAATCCATCCACAGAGAGTAAGGATAACAGGATGTATGAAGTCTCGAAGTATCTCCGCAGGGTCCCTTCGACTCCAGAGGGGATGGATGGCACAAGCAGAGACATAAGACAGAAGAAGAGAAGCCAACAGAAACCACCTCTACCAAGGGATCCAGGCCAGCGTCCCCAGCGGCAAGTTACAATGACATCATGAACCCCACGACAAACTACATGGAAAGGGGCACATCGCTTCTGTGGTAGAACCTCAGGGCAATTGGGTAAAAACACAAAATTGAGGGACATTTGGCAAAAGAATAATCGACACTGTTCAGAGTTGCCACAGTTGTGGAAAACAAGGAAAGACTACAGAACTGTTCCTGACTTCCGGAGACTAAGGGGAAGCAACAACTTAACGTCATGGGGGCCTGAATGGGACCCTGGAACAAGGAAAGGATACTGGTGGAAAAAACCCATGAAATTCATATAAGGTCTTCAGTTTAGTTAAAGACCACTATCAATGCTAGTATCTCTTACTATTGCAATGTTAATGTCACTGTACCATGGATTATAGTAACATCGCGCCGATGTTAATTTCTTGTCCTGTTACATTAATATCATTGTACCATGAATTATAGTAACATGGTGCCAATATTAATGGCTTATACTGTTACAATGTTAATATCATTGTACTGTGAATTAGTTACATTGTGCCAATGTTAGTTTCTTGTCTTGTTACAATGTTAATATCATTTTACTATAAATTAAAGTAACATTGTGCTACAGTGATATGACACTGGGTAAGAAATATATGGAAACTCTCTGAATTACTTTTGCAACTTTTCTATAAATCTAAGAGCAATAAGAAATAAAGTTTTCTTTAAAGGGAGCTTGGAAGAAATCAGCCCACCTTTACTGACTCTGTTTGCTAAAAGCCTCACAGAGATATCTATCCTCTCATGCAGAGCGGATTCTGTTTTCCATATTGAACCTACTCTTCTGCAGATGAAGCACAGAGAGGTCAGGTTTTGCCCAAAGGCACACAGCCCCAGGGCTTTTGGCCTGAGCA